GGAGTGAGTTGCGTTCTTCAGATCCGCTGTCGCAATTAATCACGCGTTCGACGTCTGACACAGTGCTTGGTAGTGGCCGGATAAACTAATATATGGTGAGACTTGATTCGTGTGAAGACATGATTTGTTAGTTAAAAAAGGCAAAGCCGGATGCCTTTCGAACACATGGTCCAGCAATCGTTGAGTGCTAGAGAAGAGACGGCCAGAGATAGACTTAAGTCCAGATGAGAGAATGATATCTAGAGTGCAGTCCCGCTAAACATGGTGCTGTTTCCGATAGTCCAGAAATGCATTAGCAATGCTGTTGTTCAACGCGGAAAGTTGGAGTATTTGGGCTTTGGTGGGACGTCAGAAAAGAAGTCTGGAACTCGCAAAAACATGTCTGTTCCCTGGCTTGGTTGGCGGCTACCAAGAGCGCGCACGAGTGGCGTACAATGGAATTTTTAAATGAGCTGTAAATTTAATACACGTCTGGATGACAGGCAGTTGAGAAGTAATACCAACAGCGCTGGCAGGGGGAGGAGAGATATGGTCTGACACATCGACAACACCGCAACATGACGACTGCGAGCTGGTACTAAACGAGTTTGCTTACCATAGCCACCTTGCAGTTATGTTTCATCGAGTGAAATAAACAGAAAAACTACTTGGGACACCTGTACTCGAAATTGATGGAAAACATCGCAAAGTACGTCAGAACATTATGTCCCAATTCATGCTACGGCGTGTGCGAGAACCAACGTGGTTCGTAGCCCCGGTCTAGTGGTGCGAAATAATAGTTTGTAAACTGAGTACTTAACTGAGAATAGGCTGAAATATCCGAACAATTCTCGGTCATTGTGCTAGAGGCCAGACAATAAACAGTCTTCACTAATAAAACGCACGCGTCCGCTTCATGTCCGAGGTCCGAATACTCCATTCAGGCTTCCGGAAAATAGAGACTGAGAGTCAACTGTCCCACTCTTGATCGCAGCGGCCCCTGTGGTCCATCTGATAGACGCGGTGTGGCAACTGCCCTCTCAAAAGTGATAAACCGTACATTTCCGGCGCAGCAAGTGACCATTCACTGGTTTGCGTATGTATAGTTTAAAGAACACTTTACTAGCGTCGTCGTCTACCTCTACGTGCAAAACCAGTTGCCGATCAACCCGATGAATGGATTTTTTTATTCACAGCTGCGTGAACTGATAGAGCTGCAAAGTGTTGTCGAACCAGGCCGGATGACACTTTCAAAAACTATTTGATCGGTCGATTTTGATTTGGTTTTTGATGCTACAATCTGAACTTCATTGCCCACTGACGTCTCCTTGCTTCTAACGGGTGTTTTCAGCGTCGCCGCAAATACACGCTGACCTGGTAATCCAGCAATACTTGTGTGGCCAGCGAGAGTGAGTACATTCTGGCCATTTAAAGATTTCGTAGCTGGGTGCGTCATAGCGGGTCGATAAGTGATTCTGAAACCTGCAATACCTTCGGCTGCCTTAACGTCGTGCAGTTACGGTCCAGCATAGCAGAGATGCAGAAATCAACAAGTTGGTTCTTGGAGATCTCGGATTTACCTAACGACGTCGCAGTGGCCCGACCGGCGAGAACGCCTGCAGTTTTCCGACCAGGTGGCTCCAGAGGGATCCCGCAATAATTATCTTAATCGACCCCGTAAAATTGCTGCGTAAGTCCATTCCTAGGGACTGCTTATTGTGGATTGAAGAAATGGATATATTTCAGTATCTGGGGGGCTAAGTTGCTTCAAAACGAAGAAAGCAAAAACAACGGCGAGTCCAATTTGATGGTGCTCGTGAATTTTTGCAAGACAGAAGTTGTTTACGAACCCGTCGCAACAAATGCGCGGTTACAAGTATTTTTCCGCAATATGCATCGGTATGGTCAGTCCTCTACGGTCGTAAATGTTGGGTTGTGCGTGCAAAAGACGGGCAGAGACTGCAGATCTTCAAACACCATTATCTAAGAACAGCTGTTTTCGTCTCGAATGAGACAGTCTGTGCCTCCTGATAATATCGCGATGGTATTCCACGCCATCCAAAAACGGCTAGGATCATCCGAAACTCCGTCTCATCATCTACCGCAAGGGTACAGTGCCTATGTCTCAATTTAGTCGTTATTGTCTAGTTACAGAGGCGAAAGGTCTAACCCAAAATCAAGTTCAAAAGTTTGTCAAGACCATGGGGGTGGTTCTTAGACCTCCAGTATTCCGTTTTGGTCAGTGGGGAAAAATAACTCGAGGGGTCTACCACCGAGCAGTAGGGAAGAGTGAAAATGCCCGGGGGGTCAGGAGGACCGGTGCTTAAAGAATTAGGGTGCACAGTACACAGGCCCAGTGGTTGTGGCAGCAAGATTTAGTCTTAAACAACGCTCCTATAAGATTTTCAAAGTCCTGGCTTCATGAAAGACAACTTTATTTATTCGTATACCAGACCGTTATGTGGGTCGATGATTCGCGAATAATTATCACATATGGCCCCTAATGAGTGAAGCTATCATTTGGTATTTGGGGGTGACGGCAGGGGTCAGGACACGTCCTAATATCAGTGCGTAAATGTTGTTAGGAACGATGTTGAGTGGGGTCCGCATCTCGAAAACGTCGAAGAAATTAACGAGAATTTACGGCCTGCTCATCACCGAAGGCGATAAGACTGAGAACTGCCGACACCAGAAGAGTTTGTAGTTCCTCGCCAAACAATTATACGGCCGAATCGACATGCGGTTTGCAGCCCTACTAGAAGGCTATGATAGAAAGCTAAAATAAAACGCCTAAAAGTGAAGCGTCATGTCAAAATCTGCGCTGACTATAGCACGACTTATAAATGAGCACATAAAAAATCAAAAATACACAAACACTAAAGTTCCGCACTCTTTTAGTGCGCATACACTTACACTTTTCTGCATCGTCCTTGGTTGTGGAAGTGACAGCCGCAGACTCACCGTCGTATTCCGCCATCTTATGGGGGCCCCTTCAAAAACAGCGCCAGTACGGAACAGCGGTATTGGCAGTTCCAGTCAATGTTCAGGGAGTTCACTTTCTGAATGTGTTTATGGTTTGAAACACGGCCTTCGCAATGACTGCCGTTTGTTTTTTTGAGGATCACTGTGCCGATAAAAAAGGTTACCCAGTTTTTTTCCGCTTGTGGGAAGAAAAATAGCAGACAACCATTCTTTAATGGGAGATCGTTTAAAAACAACCCGTCACAGTGTCGTCTGCCTAACATAACCTCTGTACGAAACCAGCTCGGAAGTTCTCACTAACATGTTAATCTTTCTTTGGCCTTAAAACTTCAGACGATGCTCAATTTTAAAACGTGGAGTACGTTCGTTTCCTATATAGGCCTTCCTAGTGCTGATAATATTCGAAAAATCGCACTAATTAGCTGTGCCCAGAGATGACTGTATGTGGATCTCGTCAACACCTTCAACATGCCTTTCACGGTTTCTGGTGTCTACACTTATTTATTCTTTCAGCGTGACCACACTTTCCATCTCCGTGCGTATTCGTACAAGCTAATTGTGTCCCATGCATACTCGCCAGTTAGGCGGTTGGAGCCCCACCTCGTGCCGTTCACTCATGAAATAAATCAAATAATGTGTTAGTCATTTCACCTCCGCGCCATGTTTAAGAGTCGTTTGGATTTACAATGAATATCTTGGCGGCCAAATAGAGAAGGATCCGGCGATCAGTATGATCAATGAAGCGTCCTGCAGATTTATTTATCTTGTTTTGATGTCCAGCTGTACGAAACATGTGACTACGCTAAGGGCAATGCCTTTTACGTCATAACCTGCCAAATTTGTGCACATGGAGGAATGTCAAATTCTCTTGCGGAAGTACGACACTGAAGTCGAAGGGGAGAAAGCAGCATTTGCGTCATATCTGAAAGTCGAATAACTGCGAAACCTCGAGAGCTGGATCCACATCAGCGTGAGCGATGGACGATATAAGAAGAGGGGGCATCTCCTTGATAAAATGTGTAGTCAGAGCAGGCACAAGCAACTGTACCCGCATTTTCATCCGTCCACAACTAGAAGTCGGCTTTTGCCTACTTTTTGCCTTAATTCCATTTGAAATCTTTATTTGATTTTAACCCTTATATCTGTTAATTGTCCGTACAGCATTCGTAATGCTTACTTGATGGTACCTTTTCCCACCTCCTCCATCTGTCAGCGCTTTCCCTTATTTGCTTCCAGGCAAACCTGTAGGCTTTAGTACATTTTTGATTTGGTTCACTACACTTTCTTGTACATCTGACTTTCCTGTACATTTGTTTGATTAAACGGAAATACACACGAACAACTCTGCGGCGGTCAACGTGTGTTCTGGTTTCGAGTGTGGTTGATGTCGTTATTTCTTGGCCTTCGCCTGTAACCTCTCAACATTCTTAGCTATTCGTATGAGCTGATGGAGACTCCCTCCTCACAAGCCTACTTCACCATATCATCGTGGAACCGACTGCCTCTATTCAACCGGTTCATCATCGGAATACTATCTCGCTACTTGAGAGGATTCTACTTTGCGTGAGTCTGGAACATTCCTATCCTGATTCTTCGAATCTGTACATCCTTTGTGTGTTGGTAAACTCAATTCCTCCATTTGGAGTTAGTTTTTCCTGTATATATTGCTGTTTGTAGTTTTTAAGTCCACGCTTCCACTACAAAATTGGTGGCCCCGCTTTTTTCTGCATTCCGAGTCTTTTTTATTTACCATGGCCAGTAACGACTCCCAAAAAGACTCACTCGACATTAACACCCTTTCTTTTAAACTGCCACCGTTTACCCCGAGCAATCCTTGCGTTTGGTTCAGGCAGATCGAGGCTCTTTTTGTGACAAGCCGCATTACTAGCGAGCGTACCCGCTATTCGTACGTTTTTCAGTCACTCCCATTTGATGTAGCTGTCACCGTCGAAGACCTCCGCGACCCCATTCCAGCCGACGAACCGTATGCGCGGCTGAAGAAATCGGTAATCCAATGGGTGGGTAAATCGGCCAACCTTATGCTGCGGGAACTTTTCACGCAAGTAGAGCTAGGTGATCAGACACCTTCCCAGCTCATGCGTCACATGCGCTCACTTCTCGCTGGAAGGCACATGGACGACGCCACTTTTCGCGAGATTTGGTTAGAAAAGTCACCGGTGAAATTGCAACAGGTTTTGGCTATGTTGGACTCGAATACATCCTTGGAGAAGCTATCTACCCGCGCTGACAGAATCAAAGATTGTTACCTCATTGGTGCCTCGTGTTCCAATATTCAACAGCCCCCACCTTCCAAGGGCAAGCCCCATCGGGGCATTTACATTGATTCAGAAGGCCCAGCATTATCAGAGCACGACACTCCCTATACGGAAAAAAGCACCATGCTGTTGCACAGCCTGACGAGCGCCCACGTCAGCCGGTCCTCCCAGAAAACCCACCGACGCTTATCGCGCCGATTACGACGAGCTAAGAGACACTGTGCGCCTCCTTTGCACTCAGGTGAGCAACATGTGCTCTGCTCTTAACAGTCTTCAATCGGCTAGAAAACAGCCATACTCACATTGGCGGTCTAAATCCCGTGAGCGGCGTTCATCGCACTTATGGCCCGAAAGCCCGAAAATGCATACCTTCTTGTTCGTTCGCTCGTCCTTCACAGTTAAACGACCACGCCAGCCAGTAATGGCGACGACTGCTGCTGGCCCGTCGCGAACCAATCGCCTTTTCTATATCAACGGCAAGTCGAGCGGCCTCCGTTTCCTTGTTGATACCGGTGCCGAGGTCAGTGTCATCCCGCCTCTAAGGCGTCACCGCCTCAAGCCTTCGCAATTCTCATTCCAGGCTGCAAATAGCACCACAATTAGCACCTACGGCCAACGGTCCCTCACTTTAGGTCTTGGTCTCCGGCGACGTTTTCAATGGGTCTTTATTGAGGCTGACGTCAAATCGTCCATTATCGGGGCCGAGTTTTTGTCATCTTTCGGCTTAAGAGTCGATGTCAGACACCGTCGCCTCACCACTCACCACCCAACTCTTTACCATAGGTGCCATTAGCTCTGAACGTTTGCTTGGCATTCATCTCACCATTCCCAGCACCCCTTTCGCTGACATATTGAAGGACTACCCGTCCATCACTAAACCATGTCATTTTACCGAAACCGTTCAACACGGAGTGAAACATCATATTGTCACGGCAGTGCAACCAGTGCACGCTCGACCGCATAGACTCCACCCTGAGAAGCTCCAAATGGCAAAGAACTAATTTGAACATATGATGAACATGGGCATTATACGCCCTTCATCTAGTCCACGGGCCTCACCATTGCACATGGTGCCAAAGAAGACATCTTACGATTGGAGACCGCGTGGTGATTATCGAGCCCTAAACAGGTCCACAATTCCTGACCGGTACCCCATTTCCCACCTTCATGACTTTGTCCACATGTTAGCCGGTAAAACTATTTTTTCCAAGATAAACCTCGTCAGGGCGTACCACCAAATCCCGGTCGCTGAGGAAGATAACCCAAAGACCGCTATCACGACACCCTTTGGGCTGCTCGAATTTATTCGCATGCTTTTTGGTTTGCGCAATGCTGCCCAGTCGTTTCAGCGCTTTATCGATGAGATCTTGCGGGGCCTTCCATTCGCTTACGCTTACATCGACGACATACTCGTCGCAAGCTCTTCGGCAGAGGAACATGCCGCGCATTTACGCCTCATATTCGATCGTTTCCAGCAACACGGTTTGCAATTAAACGTCGACAAATGCGTTTTTGGCGTTAATTCTCTCGATTTTCTTGGTCATCACGTCGATCAGCACGGAATTACTCCACTTACAGAGAAGGTGCAATGAATCTTGTCTTTCCCTGTTCCCAAAACACTCACTCAGCTGCGACGTTTCATTGGCCTTATCAACTATCACAGACGTTTTATTCCCCATTGTGCGGCAATCCTGGCTCTCTTGACTGAACTTTTGAAGTCGAACGTAAAACCTATTGAACTTTCACCGGCAGCCCGTACAGCTTTTGAGAAAGCGAAGAAGGCTCTTGCCGATGCCACCATGCTGCACCACGTCAGTTCTGACGCTCATGCACAGCTCATTTTGACCACAGACGCTTCCAGCAGTGCTGTCGGCGCAGTCTTGCATCAACAGATGAATAACCAGTTGCAGCCTTTAGCTTTCTTTTCACAAAAGCTACAACCGGCGCAGACTCGTTCCAGTACTTTCTCTCGCGAGCTCCTTGCCATCTACTTGGCCATACGTCACTTTCGACATCTTTTAGAGGGCGGAGACTTTTCTGTCCACACCGACCACACACCTCTCACTTACGCCCTCAAGGCCAAGCCAGATCGGTACTCGCCCAGGGAAGTTCGTCACCTGGACTATATATCTAGTCTACTGCAGATATCCGCTACGTCCGAGGCAGCGACAATGTCGTTTCTGATGCATTAGCCCGTCCGGACATCAACACACTCACATCCGATTTCGACCTGGCGAAGCTTGCAGACCTCCAAACCGCAGACGAGTCCATCGCGGACCTACGTACGTCTACTACTCTGCAGCTTCGAGATGCACCACTTCCTGCGTCATCAGGTACGATTTTGTACGATTGGTCCACGGACACCCCTCGTCCTGTTGTTCCACTACCTTATCGTAAGGTCGTCTTTGACCACTTTCACTCCCTCTCCCACCCTGGCATCCGCTGGACGTAATATAATTGCGGCTCGTTTTGTGTGGCCGAAGATGAACTCCGACATTGCTCTTTGGACCAAACAGTGTCTCGCATGCCAGAAGAATAAATAAATAAATTTTTATTTAATGCCAGTTTACAGGCATTGTCAGGGGAAGCGATTAAACACAAATCCGACCAGCAGTGAAAAATACTCCTGAGCTTAAGGGATAAAAATATAGTTGATGGTGGTTTTTGTTGTTTGGAGGGCTCAGGAGAAAAAACTGCCGGTGGTGGGAGAATATCGACCGGCAAGAAGGGGGAGGTTGCACGGTATCGGAGATTATCGGACGTCAAATTCCTTTCATGAAGTTGGGGATAGTCAAAGTAGAGGCGTTGAGGAACAGCTGGTGAGACCGGCCATAGTGTTCCGAGACCACAAACACCATCGCTACGGTACAGTCGATCAGTAGTTTCAGCACCAAAAATTTGTGGGAGCTTTTCTGAATGCAAAAATCGAGTAATAGTTCTCTTAAATAAAGGATAATTTTGCAGAGTTTTATCACTCATGGGTAGTTTATTCCAAATAGCAATCGCATTTACAGAAAAGGACCGACGATATTTAACAGTACGTGCCAGAGGCAGAAATAAGAAGACCTCACGGTGACTGTTACGTCGTTGGTGGATATGCTGTCTTAAAGAGGTGAGTGGGTTAAATGTGTGATTATATAAGAGTTTAAATAGCAAAAGTAGTCCCTTTTGTAATCTACGGAACCATAAAGGATCGAGGCCTGTAAGCCGGCAACGTTTTTGGTAAGACAAATGTCGGTGTTCCGGGGTTAAAACTCACTGAATAAGGGTTCAGGAGTTGTACTGATGGATAGAAAAGAGTACGTAGAAAAACTAGAAGCAATCTTGTCGGATCGTACCAAATTCTCGAAATCCGAGAAAGACAGGGACCGCACCGAGGCCGTTGAAGGTCAACTGACGGCGGTCCTGAAAGTTCTCCACAAAGAAGGTCATTTATCTGACAAAGAATATGAGCGACTAAGACCAGTGGGCACGGCCATACCCAGAATGTACGGCCTTCCAACAATTCACAAACACGGACTACCCCTACGTCCGATCCTGGATATGCGGAATTCGCCCTATCACACCATAGCAAAGTGGCTAGTCGAAAAGCTTAAACCGCTGCAAAGTCATTTGTATCCCCTAAGTCTGAAGGACACCTTCGAGTTTGTCGAGGCAATCAAGGATATTNAGGCAGAACTGCAGCAGCTGCGGGATACACTCCACGAAAACGGATATCCAGAAAGATTTATCCTTCGAAATATAGGGGAGCGCACTGCAAAACCTACCATGGCAACTGCAGAAAAGAAGGACTTATTTATACGATTGCCTTTTCAAGGAGACGCAGCAAGTGAACTGGTAAAAAGACGTCTGAAGACAGCGATCACTAACGCTTTCCCCGCGGCGAACTTACGTGTGTGTTTCACTAACTCTCCCCTCCTACGCTTGGGAGGTAAAGACCGACTCCCGTTGCAGGCCACATCAATGTGTATTTATTCATTCACTTGCTCCTGTGGAGCGGGCTACATCGGCCGTACAACGAGGCGTTTGGAAAAGAGAGTACGTGAACACATACCGGCCTGGCTAGGCAAAGGTGAGAAGAAATCGATCTCGAGTTCTATTCTCGCACATCTTGTCGATACGAATCACCGAGTCGATGCCAAAGAAGCCTTTCAGATTGTCTACCGGACACCAGCAGGCTTCTCCAAAGGCCTACGCCAACGGGTGCTAGCTACAGCTGAGGCAGTGGCTATACGGCTAGCCAATCCAGTGCTATGCTGTCAGAAGACTCTGACACAGGCGCTCTGTCTTCCGTGGCCGACGCCGACCACAACGTCGCTCCAACCTCCTGATGCCAGGGTGGGTGCACAAGGTACACGACGCACTCACAGCCTATGCCCCCCTCTTCCTCGCCCCCCGAACCCAATTACCACGACACGCCGACCACGCCATAGCACGCCTCGTCATGCGAGTGGCGTGGGAACGATCGATGTTAATTGTCCCGAATCATTTATAAGTCATGTAATTCGCATAACTTAAACTTCATTGTAACCGTTTTGGCCTGATGAAGAGTTACTGAAAACACGTGTTCGCCAATTTGACTTTTGAATAAAAAATTGTTAAACGGATTCTATTTTCTTCCATCCAGCAGCACGCATGAGGTTCAGTAAAAACGAACCGTATTCCAGACCAGGCCTAACGTACATGTTGAAAAGGCGCATTCTAATGTCCCTAGTTTTGAAGTTTCGGAGGATAAACCCGGTCGTTCTACGTGCTTTGGAGACTATCAAGGCACAGTGCTCCGAGAGATTGAGACTCTTGGAGTATGATATGCCCAGATCCTTAATATCCCAGCGCACATTTATGGCGTGACCTTTAATACTTAGTTGAGGTTGGCGGTCGTCGCCAACCACCATGACTGAGCACTTATGCCAGGAAAGAGAAAGGCGCCATGTGCGGCACCACTGGGCGAAAGCCTGTAGATCGTTCTTTAGGAGCTCAAGCACGATGTCATGATCTGCTGGCTTATATCGATATGCAACTTGAAGATCATCGGTATACATGAAAGACTTACCATTCTGAAATAAATCGGGTACATCATAAACGAAAAGGCAAAATAAAAGCGGGCCGAGTACACTACCCTGAATGACTCCACTACTCACACGTGTGGGGTTGGAGATGGTATTGTAAATCTTAACTCGTTGTGTACGAGTGCCCAAATAAGAGGATATAAAATTCAAAAGTTTGCCACCTATTCCGAAAGAGGACAATTTCAAGAGGAGAAGAGCATGGTCAACACGATCAAAAGCCTTAGTGAAATCGAAATATACTGTGCAAAGAGCAAAACCATGGTCCCTAGATTGGAGAACATAGTCAAAGAAAGAGAGTTGAGAGGTGTCACAAGACCGAGCTTTGAGGAATCCATGCTGAGCAGCACTCAGTAGGTTATTCTCTGTTAAGTGGTACATCATCTTATCCTTGATCAATGTCTCTAAGATCTTCGAAACTGCGGGGAGGGTGTTTATTGGCCGAAAGTCATCAAATGATGTAGATTTGCCGTGCTTAGGAATGGGCAAAATGTGTGATTCCTTCCACAATGTAGGGTAAGTTTCACTTTCAAGAGCAAGATTAAATATCTTGCATAAGAGGGATGGGAAGATCGTGTTTGCATCGGCTTTTAAAATGCTTACTGGGGCACCATCAGGGCCTGGACTATAAGATTGACGAAAACGCCGAATCGCAACAGTCACATCCCACAGAGTGAATGTTATAGTTTCTTGAACTGCCCCGGTCAATGACTGGATGGTCGGAAGCGGAGTGGTCGAGTCTTCAATAAACATTTTGGACAGGAAATCATTGAAGCTATCCGCGGTTAACTGGACATCAACTATGGGATTTCCGAGATCGTCTCGAAGGATGGGATACTGCGTCCTTCTCTGAGTTCGTATTTTTCTAGAGAAAAGATTCGAGACACTTAACGAATGGTTTTCAGTAAAGTGGACCTCTTCGGCTAGCTGTTTTTCTTCAGACAATCTCTTAGCTCGATCAAAAATATCACAAATCAAGGGTAGAACAGAACGATAAAGCCTGCGCAATCTGCGACGAAAGGGTAAAGGTAGGAAAATCTCATCCCCAACATTAATAATTTTCTTACGGGGGACAAAACGAGAAATAAGCGGATCCAAAATTTCGTACATTTTTGCAGTGCAAACATTTACATCCGAACTAAGGAAGAAATCAGTCCAGTCGTAGGAATTAAGGTGTGTTAATAATTCGGTTGAGCGAGTGGATCGGAAATCGCGGAAAAAGTTGTACTGTTGGGACGACATTTCGTCAGCTTCGAATTCCAACGTTGAAACAACTATGTCATGGTCTGAGCCCCCGAGTGGGCCTAGGGATGACACTGACGATGGCAAGCAGCCTCTACAGAAAATTAAGTCAAGTATACTTGAGCCTCGGGTGGGAAAATCAACAACCCGAGTCCACATCCCGACATCCACAGCCTCAAGAAAGTCATCGAACCTTCTGGGGCCTGAAGGCGGAGACCAGCGGACTTCAGGGAGATTAAAGTCACCCGCAATCAGTTGATACTTAAAACTTAAGTCGGCCGCAGCATGAAATGCCTGTGAGAGTAAACGATCAAAATTGTCATTGGCGTTGGGAGGGCGATAGACGCAGCCAATGAGTAAGGAGAACTTATTTTTTAGTGCAACCTGGAGCCAAAAGCTGCCTTCTATTGCGGAAAAGTGCGGGAGGTCCAACGGCAAACATGTAAGTGTTTACTTAACGTAGACGCAGCTGGCCCCACCACGGCTATCTTAGCGATCATTTCGAATGCAATTGTAGCCTAGAAGAGAGAGTTCGGAGTCTTCTACTGAGGCTGATGCCCACGTCTCAGTTACTAAAACAATATCAGGACAATGGATGAACACCTGAGTCTGAAGCAAAGGCATCTTATTAAGCAAGGATCTGGCATTTAAAACAAAAAGTTTGAAGGGAAAGGCTGTTAGTTTTTGAGGGAGGTGGGCTACATCGTCCAGTTCTGGGTCACCCACGGAGCAAACGGTCCGGATGCAACCATCCGGTTCTGCAAAAAACTTTGTGGCATCAAAAAATTCTGACGTGGATAAAAAGGAGTAGGACTTGGGGGAGGGAATGACGGGCAGGTAAACTGGTAACTATTGTTAGCTAACTTATTTTCAGATGGAAATACGCGTATTCCCGCCGGGACGAAACTGAGGATCGGATGAATTAACTGATTCAGTATGGACATTGTCATGAGGAATAAATTGGTAAAACGGCCGTGGAGGAAACAAGTTAGGGGGTGGGGGACGCATTGCTTCCATTGGAACAAGAGGTCTATTAAACGGTGGAAAAATCAGCATATTCGGCCTAACTGCCTTGAAATGAGAGCTGGGGGACAGATGCGAACCCGCTACGTTTTGAGTCGGGGTATTTGAGGCCCTGTAAGCCGATTGTGGAGGAAAAGATTTTATAATGGTGCTGGATTTATTGGGTGTCCGAGTGGCTGAGACAACAATTGGATTTGCCTTTGACTTAGACACATGCTTAGGCTTACTAGGGGTTGCTGAGGGAGTCGATAGAGGCGTGTTTATACCAGGCGTGGTGGTGTGTTTAAAGAGGTCAGCATTAAAAGTAGTTGAACTCCCTACGGAATTGACTATGCCGTGACTTGCAGATGCCGCAGGTGGTGTTGTAGAGGACATATTCAGACTGACAGTAGGTGTCATTATCTTGGTGTTGGTTTTTGCCGATTTTGGTTTATTCATTCTACGCTGCAGGGGTGTGAGGTCTGGCGGAACGGAGCAGCGCCATTTACGGCAGAAGTCTCTAGTCATCTCCCTACTCGACAAGATAAAATCGGCTTCTATCATGGAGAAAAGGGGAACTAGTATCGGCGCATTACGACTAAGCGAGCGAAGTCGCTTAGCTTGTGCGACACTAAAACTCAAGCCACAACTTTGTAGGAACACATGCGCTCCCTCCATAGCAGATAAGTGGCTCGGAATGGTTCGCAGTACGAAATTATGCTTGCGTTTAATTCGTCCCTCAGTTTCCGAACTTATTACCCCAATAAGTTTAAAAGCTTGTTCAAGCACTTTTTCAGAAGTGCTGTTTATGTCTCCATAAATCAGCTGATCGATTATTTCGCCGGCTGATGGCCTTCTACGACTAGCAGAGGCGTATTTTTGGAAGACTGAAGTGTCGAGAGGTTCTACATGCACTAATAGGGATTTGTGAGTTAATCAGATCTGCAGACGGCGAAGAACATACGCTGGCGTCTGCCATGTCTTCAGTCACGATTTTAGCACCCAGAGACGGTGGGGAGGCCGCAAGCTTTCGCATTTTAGCACGTGCTCTGCGGGGCATTACAGACAAAAAAAGTTTTTCGTTACAGAAGAAGGATCAAAACGTTGCCAACGTACGGAAACGTGCACTGAGTAGCAAGTATTACTGTTTTTTTAACTGCGAAAACTAGAAAGCGGTAGTAGGGAAAGGATTCACTACGATGGATTTTTTACAAAATACGACTATTTTGCCAGACTGTCAGACAAAACTGGGAAAAAATTTTACCTTATATAGAAAGGCGACTTTTAAAAGGGACTCAAGTAAAAAACAGGTATTAATTACTTAAGAATATCCTGATAAATGCAGAGCTTCACTTATCTTTGAAATTGAGATGCGCGCCTTGACCTTGACCTTGACGGTTCATCGACACATCTTCTCCCCTCCACGTACCTTTGCGGTCCCGGACGTTCGATTTAATCACGTTCACTTGGATTTAATCGGGCCGTTACCCCCTTCACGTGGGTACACACATATCCTGACGGCAGTTGACCGTTTCACACGATGGCCGATTGTAGTGCCTATCTCGGATACCTCGGCAGAAAATATCGCCATGGTTTTTCTGACCCATTGGATCTCAACTTTTGGTGTTCCAGCCACCCTTACCACTGACCGCGGAAGTCAATTCCAATCTAGCCTCCTGCGTGAGTTCAGTAGATTGCTCGGGTGTGCGCACATCACAGCCACGGCATACCATCTGTCTCCAACGGCCTCGTTGAGCATTTACACCGCCAACTCAATCCGCACTGATGTCCCAAACAGAGTCAGCTACTTGGAGTATCAATCTCCCTCTTGTGCTTTTGGGCATCCGATCTTCTGTCAAGGAGGACATCCAATGCACTGCCGCCGAACATGTGTACGCTAAACCCCTCCATCTGCCCGGCGAATTTGTGCAGCTTTCCACGATAAACACCAACATCCCGAGCACCTTCGTACAGCAGTTGAAACAAAGCATGGCTCATCTGCGTCCAACCCCCACTCGTCTGACATCGAAACATGTGTTGGTACACGAGGACCTTAAATCTGCCCCCTTTGCTTTCGTCCGGCATGACGCAGTGCGCAAACCCCTTTGTCCTCCCTACGATGGCCCATATAAGGTCGTTCAGCGGAAAGACAAGTTTTACGCCCTTCAGAAGGCTGATAAGACTGACACGGTCTCCATTGACCGCCTTAAGCCAGCCTACCTGGAGTGCCTCCCGTCGACCAGTGCGCTATCCATTCCCCCTACTATGTCCTCACCCGATACACCCACTCCGCTCACCTACCCACCATCCCCACACTTGAAGAATAGTACCCACACAACCGGATCCTCCTCCTACACCACCGCCCATTTCATCTCCTTCCGGTAGACATATCCGTTTTCCCGCCAAACTTAAAGACTTTGTAGTGTGATTTTTTTTCATTTTCCGTTTTATTTTATCGAGCGTTTTGTTTCTTTGGCAAACGCTCTGGTGGGGGAGTTGTGTAGGCTTTTGTACATTTTTGATTTGGTTCACTACACTTTCTTGTACATCTGACTTTCCTGTACATTTGTTTGATTAAACGGAAATACACACGAACAACTCTGCGGCGGTCAACGTGGTTCTGGTTTCGAGTGTGGTTGATGTCGTTATTTCTTGGCCTTCGCCTGTAACCTCTCAACATTCTTAGCTATTCGTATGAGCTGATGGAGACTCCCTCCTCACAAGCCTACTTCACCATATCATCGTGGAACCGACTGCCTCTATTCAACCGGTTCATCATCGGAATACTATCTCGCTACTTGAGAGGATTCTACTTTGCGTGAGTCTGGAACATTCCTATCCTGATTCTTCGAATCTGTACATCCTTTGTGTGTTGGTAAACTCAATTCCTCCATTTGGAGTTAGTTTTTCCTGTATATATTGCTGTTTGTAGTTTTAAGTCCACGTTTCCACTAGCCTAATAATCGCTATAGGATCGTCGGATTGTGGTTGTGAGAAATAACTGAATCTTTATTTTAACACTGACTCATCTAAGCCGTTATTTTCCTCATCCCTGCCGAGTAGCTCTCTTAAAGATTCTGAAAATGGACCAATGAACATTTACGATACAGCCGCCAAAGTATCTTATCCCCACGTGGTTTTGCTCTCAGCGATCCCTCGGCAGAAATCTTCTGTTTTTTAGTTCATGCGTCGTGTACCTCTCGGTACACGATGCCATCCCTGACTTACCTCCCGGAGAAGTGATCAGGGTTACATTGATACTCATGATATAGACGTCATTCGATTCGCTCGCCGCCAATCTTCATCAAGATTCCGTTCTGGCTACTGTAATGTGAAGATCTTACCCCAATTTTTGGTCTCACGATTTGTCTGCTACTATATAGAACCTTCGGGCGCACTACCATGACGCTTCTTTCTCATTTGCCAATTTACCCTTAAAATTTTTAACCTTCTTTCAGAAGAGCCTAATGTGCTCCTCTATTTCCCTTCGCAGAGTAGTCTATTCGCCCGAATATTTTTTAGACAAGGTTTCCTCATCTCGCCCCTCATTTTTAAATTTTAAGGGGTCCTTTTCATTGTTTCTTTCGTAGCTCAGCGTTTTTTGAAAACTCACAAATGGGAATCAGTGGATATTGTTGTTGTCAAAAGTACCGTAAGCGAAAGGAAAAATCGCCGGCGGGTGTGACCAACTCTGCTTACCTTGCATAGTGCAGTTTCTAAATTCCGTCCCTCATCTGACAGCTCAGCTAGACATTTCTACCTATAGTGTGCTATTTCACCCAATATCTCAGTTAACTTTGTCTGTATAGTGCCCTCTGGGAGCTTAAAAATAAAACTTTTGCTATTATTATCATCAAGACATCTGGCGGACGACCAAATTAGATTGCTTTAGCATGAGGAAGGAGTAAATGAAGGGGAGGAAGAAGAGGTAAAAGGGTGGCTAACAAACAAGTCATTTGGTCTGGAAATCTCTTTTTAGTAAAATTTTAACATCCCTAAGGTTGTCACATAAGCTTAGCTTCCCTCTGTTCACTTTCGCTGCTAGAGAACTTGTCAGGGAGGTCGTTGGTGACCTACTTAGGGGAAGGTATGATGATAAGATAACACTTATAAAAGGAATGGCAGAAGGGTCTACTAGACTACGGCTTTAAAGCACACTTCACGTTTAACGGTGGCATTTACTAGCATTTCTAGAGAACCCTGATGAGATCATCGGTCGTGGGCTACCTGGCTAAGGTGGTCTTGCGGGAACTAGGAACTCTAGTCTCATGTTTCTAGTTGCCAATAACGTGCCGGTCCTTCGAACCGGCCCTTTTCCTTCCTTACTTTCGTGTCATAACAGCAAAATTCTGGATGTACCATGTGGACGAATTCTTTGTCATCCCATTCTGAATTGCGAAGGAAACCCTTAGAAAATAATTTAACCCAGTTTTCCACAAATTGATTTCACAATGAAGGGGAATAAGGAAGAACGCCGCTTTTCCTCGGCGTTCAGGTGTCGAGGCGGGAAGAGGGATCCCTCCAGACGGGTGTCTTTTGAAAGGCGACACACACAGAAAAATTCTTCACTAAAATACCAACAACCATCCTCTATACCATAAACACGGTTGCGTACCTGCATATTTATGTCCCACCAATGCACACTGCAGCACAGGTCCCGAGAAGCTGCGATAGCCTCCGTCCCTGTGGCACCCCTTCCTCTCCAATGGACAACTGTGCAACCTTATAAACAAATGTTTACACAAAGCGGCACAAATATCGATGGCGAACTGCCACCATTTGTGCCATTCTGTTCCTATTGGTTCTCGCCCCTTCCGTCTCTGCTTGAGACTTTGTATATGACACACAACTCAATATCTCGGTTGATGCATGGCTCCTCCGGGTGCATGACCAAGAGGAACTCTCGGTCTTTCCTGAAAGGACGGACACCGACAATAAAAGCTCTGTCCCAGCGAAGGTGTGCCCGGTGTTCAATGAGTGCATAGTCGCCCGAAACTGGTGGTCTCGCATCTTTTCTCCCAGATGGTGTTCGTGAATGCATGTAGAGGCAAATTTTCTTGTTTGACTACAGTGAACTGCATCACGGGCCTCAAAATTTCCAACCATATTCTGAGGGTGTATCAGCTGCGTGCGCAATGTAGCTGTTCGTCTGTGTGCCAATCACAGTCGCAAACACTGAACAATTGTCGATTTTCACTCCCACTCTAGATGTCAACTATTGTTGTTACATCTGCTCTCCGTCTGAGCCTGATGGCGACCTAGGGAACGGGCGTCGACCATTTACGTTTGATTTGGACTCACACATCTCGGGATTCCTGCCTTCCAGTTCAATTAAGACTGACAGTGCCCATGAGGTGACATAATAAATCTATTCTATGCATGTATTTATGTTCATATTCATTTCTATTTTATCGAATTCATTTATATTTAAACATTTTTTATATGTAAATATGCAATTTTATGATTACGCCCACCGATTGCGTCAAAGATCTCACTTGTCCTAGTTTGACTCGCGGTGTTCTCTCGAGTTCCGCAGACCTGCACGTAAATGGGCAAACTAGCATTACCGGCATAAACAAGTGAGTCTGGAATGGACGTTTCCAGCTTATTAACTGTCTTCCTCCAGCCACACCCAGCGTTGAGTTTTTCAACTCGACGGGTCTTTAATAACAATTATCTATCTATCTATCTATCTAAGAGAACCTCGTCTAACGGAATACTGGATAATTCGATTTATGACGATATTACCGGTGCTCCCGAGCACTTATTGAACAAGATTTAAAGTTATTGGGGTACTAGGTTCCGAATCTAATGACCGGATAAAACGCAAATTTTACACCATACTGCGTAATATTCCCAATCCCGTATCTGTGATTGAGAGTGCGTATTGCTTCTGCAAGATCGTATTTTTTCATTCCAAGTCCAGCACGCTAAACGATTGCGTTCGCTCAGCCGTGGTACCCTGATGATAGCTACTCTCTCCTTTTTGAAAAAAGTCGACTTTACCTTGTTGAGGGTGAAGATGACAAGAGAATCCCGTCGCAACTGGCACTACCCGGCCTCCCCGGACGACCAATACCGAACGACAGCCCCTGTTCACATGCTTAATAAGTTTTATTCAATATTAACTGCATTACATAGTTCGCTCTGTGGGAAACTCGACTACTGCTGATCTCGGCACCTCCCAACACAAAAATACGTTTTTATAAATACGTCCTTACCTCAGGGTAAGCCAGAGCGGATGCTCAGTTCAAAGACGATTTCGAGTGCTATTTCAGCCACTTAAACTCCGGAGACATTCAATTTCTTTGAGAAACCTCCCCTTCACAATCACCTGTCACTCTCCCAAACTCGCTGACCCCAAACAAAACGCATTTTCAACTACCTTTCAGATATTATATCGAAGCGATTAAACCGAAAGTGCAAAAATTCTCGTCTAGGAGTGAAATTTCCGCTTCAACCAAAGCAGTGCGTCCAACACCCTCTAACGTGTTTCCTCCACGGCCGGATTCCCAGTGCGACCCTCAGGCAAATGCCCATATTGAGTCAGCAAACTCAACCGGTCATCATTGTCACCTCTGCGGTAATATGTTAATTAATAAATATTTTTATTAAAGCATTTTAATGAAGGATACAGCATGACATAGAAATATTTCGGGAATATCTCAAATCGATCTTAAGAGGAGACGGGAAAGTCACCGTATTAAAGGCTTTCAGGATGGACCAAATAAAAGACTCAAAAAATGAACCAGACCGACCGAGAACGTTAAAATTGTCTTCCATAATGACGAACAAGAGTAGCTACTGTTGAGCAGGAAAGCTGCGCTCCAAAACGCCCTTCCGTCAGTTCTTTTTTTCCGCGGGACTTTTCAACTGCGGAGAGAGAAAAATGGAGTGGGCTCAAACTGGAAGTCCTCAAGCGGTCGAGTCTGGGCGAGACAAATCTCACAATACTGGACGGGAACATTATACGCGTCCAGAGGCTATTCCTCTGGAGAAAGCCCATAACCCTAACATCTTAGGAGTGGTGGAAAGCAGTCCATCCCGATCACTTCCGACCGGCTTTTGCATTCAATCCCATGAAATGGATAAACGCCTATATGCCGGAGTTACTCGTGTCAAATTGAGATTTTTGTATACTAATGCTCAAAGTCTCGTTTCAAAGATCGACGAATTTAAAACGCTAGTTTCAGAACGAATCCCCGACGCCATCGCCATAACGGAAACTTGGCTTAGTGCTGAAATCGTGGATGCCGAGATTTTGATACCGGGTTACCAGCTCTTTCGTAGAGACCGACAAAATAGACAGGAAGGTGTGGTAGTCATATATGTAAGGGCAGGCATTTCGGCAGTTAAACGCGTCCACACTCTTCCCCTTGAATATG